CTGGTAGTCTTCAGCGCTGGGCACAGTAGGTAGCTGTAGTCTTCAGCGCTGGGCGCCATAGCTAGGTAGTGGTAGAGATGATGGGCGGAGGCCAGGGATCACTTACCTGCAGCRCCGTTGCTCCAGTTTCGTCTTCGAGGTACTTGCAGCACAGCGCCAATATCACAGGTTAGTACCTGGTTCGTAACAGTGAGAGAGAGAGAGAGTTCTCTTCTTCCTCTTCTCAGTCCACCATCTTCTTCTTACCCTCTCAACTTCTGACTTCCCTGCAGATGCAGACTACGAGAGAAGAAATACGGAGCTTGGTGACATTCGATCCAGACTCGACTTTTGGGGGTTCAGACATGGCAACGAGGGACTATTTGGGATTGGTGACCAAGACTTGGTGTTAACGACATTCCCATCTTCTTCCCTCCTTTCGTGTGATCCTTATCTCTTCGTCTGTGTATGTCTGGACCTGGCGCTCTCTTCCTGTGTACAAGCGCCAGGCTCCTTCACACTCGGTGATGGATACAATGCATGTTTAGTCTGAGTTCAAACATTGGTTGGGCTAGATAGTAGTACTCTAGCCCTCTGCTTCGCTACTTGATACCTAYGTGAATGAGGTCAGTCCTAGTCAGGTCAGTCTTTGTATCAAGTCTTCCCTGCGCTCTTCAGCATCTTTATGTATGAATGAGAATGTACATTGCTTGTCGAGATTCTACTCGTACCGCATTGTCTATTCAGTCCTTTTCATCACATTGCAGATTCTCGGTTTATTACGTACATTGCATATCTGTGCATGTAACAAGAAGGCAAAGCCAAAGAGGAAGAAATAAAGGGCACTAGCTGCAGAATCAATAACATTCGTTAACAAGATGTTCAAGGTATCTCTGGTGCGAGTTGAGCCCTCGCACAGCAGGGTGAAACCGAGCTGCAAGAGAAAGACCATGTGTAACGCTGAGACAAGGACAAAAGACGTATCCGATGATTCACTAAGGACTTTGATCTGTCCTTCTGCCTCAGTCAGCTTCACTGTGATGGAGTCGATTTCATTACAGAGAAGTTCGGCAGTCACGGCAGCACCTCCTCCAGGTGCCAATGCATTCTCAATAAGCCTGGTGAAATTTGGTGCAAACAACGATCGACAGGAGGAACTGAACACGGGGTGGCCAGCCATCTCTGTATCCCTAGTCTCCAGAATAAGCAATTCAAGACCTGCACATAACGAAACAGAACCAGGCCACCATCAGCACATAGGGGAAAGACATACGCTCCATTCACGGGGTGAGTAATTCACATGCCTCTGTGTGCGATTGGGTGTGCATAACAGTTTTAGGCAGGTAGTGTACACCATATATGAACGTAGCATGACAGCTTGGCATGTCATATACCAGTTGGGAAAAAAACATAGTAAGGGACCACTGCCGCCTTCGATGTACCACAACAAGAGATCTCGGAGAGGGACAAGGTAGCGATAGGGATTCGCCAGGGCCACGACTGAAAGTTAGCGGTAGGACTCCCAGGGACATAAGTAGACTTGGCTAGAGGCATGATAGGGATTTTTCAGCAAGTCGGTTGCACCTGTGGGTCAGGCAGATGTCCAGGGTGGCAGGGCCTGAATGTAGGCCGGTTGAGGTCTAGTTCAGGGTCTGTAGGCAGCTATCAGTCTGCAATGATGTTCCGGCCAAAAGCAGGGAACACCCGGTAGGCCTAGTGCATCCAAGTGAGGCCACGTAGAGGAGGAAGTGCCTGGTCACGAGGTACTGGAGGCCAGCCAGCCATGTATATCATCCAGTGCAATGAGCAGTCCTCTCATTCATGGAGGCACAGTGCAGATCGAAGAAGAGGAAGGAGGTGGGAACCAGGAAGGAGACTCGCCTTTGGATATGGTGGCCTTGCATCTTCACCTTCAATGTTGGTGCTGCATCGCGAAGGCCCCTGAAGGGGTACCGGCTGGATATCAACTTCATCTGGAGGAGTAGGCTTGGCAGTAGGTGATAGAGAGGGCATGCGAACATTTCTGTTGCCCTCTGAATATCCGAGAAGCCTTGGATGTTCCGCCATGGTCAGCTCCCATACCGAGGTAGAGGTAGTAGGAAGGTGCACTAGGCTAAAGGAGGGCACTTTGCAAGGTTGGAAGTAAGGGGAAATAATGGGACCTGATTCCTTTAATTGTTGTTGCTGTTGTGGGGAAAGTCAATGACAGAGGGCAGAAGGAAGAGGAAGAGGGACGTAGAGTTGTCTGGTTCAAGAGAGGTGAACGCAGCATGCACAAAAACTGATATGCATTGGAGGTAACAGAAGAAGAGAAAGGGGAAAAAAAGGGGGATGCTGTTGAAAACGAAGGCGGTCTGTTTTTTTTTTTTTTTTAAACCACCACTAGCTTTCACAAGCAAACACAAAGTCCATCTCGTAGGCTACTCGTCAGAGTCTTACGCCTTAGGGCAGGCATGGCAGCCTTTTTTGAAAACAAAAAAAAGAAGGAAAAAGAAGGAAAAAACTAAAGAATTTTGAATCCAGCTACGCCAGGGAAGGCCCTCACAGAGGTGGAAATCACACCAGTGCTTTGAGGAATGTATCTGGCCAATACGTGTGGAAGGGGATTACTGTAGGTTTTTTTTTTTTTTTAACTTTCTTTGCAAGTCCTTCTGGTGTCCTGCCAGCGAGGCAGGGCGCATTCCACGCTCGGCATCTAACTGCCTCACTCCCCGTACTAACATTAGTACCATAGCTTCCTGTATCCGACCGCAATCGCAGCATAAGGGATGCTTTTTTTCTAACCCTTGTTCGTTTGTTGTTCAGCGGACAGACGCCCTCACTGAGTGCACAGTCACACTGGCACCTCGTAGAATGCATCTGATGGATATCACGGCTTTAGGGAAGTTCTTTTTTTTTTCCTTCTTTTTTTTTTTCGTTTCTTCGCTCTTTCATGGATGCAACTGCCGGGGCTCGGCAAAACTCGGTGTGCAGTGAAATTCAGATTCGGCAAAAACAGGATCAGAGGTAGTGGTGGTTTAAAAGAAAAGAAAAGAAAACGGAGATGCTCCATTTCATCCTGTCCCTCCTCCAGCCTGCGTTTGCGAGCCACCCCATTTACGTTGGTTTCCTCCTGCCATTCTGCACGGTCCTTGAGCTCGTCACCGTCCCCTCTGTGCGCAAGATCGCGGCTGCTGGGGGTCCGTTCCCCTGCCCTCTTCGCCCTGTTGCACGTCCTTTCCATCTCCTCGCCTATTTGAACGAGTTCCTCCCAGGAGTGTAGCCAGCTGTTTTTCCTCTTCAACCAGCTGCTTGCTGACAATCTGTTCACTGGTGAAGCCCACTCGCTTTTCTTCCATTCTGATCGCTCCCACCTCCCTCCGCCCGTTGTCGTAGGGCGGGTAGATGTCTGGTTTGACCAT